GTTTGATTCTATGGCTAGTGGTTCGAACAAGAATAATGCTTATGGTTTAAGAAATTTCAGTTTTATTTCTTCTTTTATGGTTATTTAGACTTATGGTCTTTCTTTTCTTTTACATTTGAACATCTTCTACTTGTGAATACAAACGTTTTTGGCTCTCTTTTTTTTTCTAACACTTGGTTTTATTGAACTAATTTAACACACATATTACATCATAAGAGGAGTTTGATAAATACCAATGTTTTGAAAACCGGACCGGCGGTCGAACCGGGTTCAACTGCGAACCGGGTTCAACTGCGAACCGGGTTCAACTGCGAACCGGGTATCGATCTGGGTTGGGTTAACTCTAAAACCCAAATTGTGTTAACCCGGTTATTGAACCGGGTTAAACCACCAAAAATCCAGAAACCGGCGACCCAGTCGAACCGCTTTGAACCGGGTTTAATCCAAGTTTTACTAGTTTGTTAATAAAATTATTTTAAAAAAACAAAAAATTCTTTATGATTTTAGAACTAAAAATGTAAAGATATGATTTATAGATGAGTAATGACGTTTACATTTCTTCTAGTTATATTTATTTTCCTAATTTCTTAAAACTTTTTTGTTCAAATTCAATAGCTAACACTATAAAATTAAACTATAAGGCACGTATTAGAGAAACTATATTTTTCTCTTAATTCTTTGACTAAATTACCAAAATTATTAGTATTAATTGGTTCTTAATATTTTATGATATTTATGTATATTTTTATTTAAGTTTTCTAAAGTTTTTAAATTGCTTAAATATTTTGTTTGATATTAGAAAAGTATAAGATTAAGTATACTAATAAATTTAAAATATCATCGAACCCGGTTGAATCCGTTCGAATCACATTGATCCACGATCCAAATGCTTTTCCGGTTAGGTTGGCGGTCCAGTTTTTTAATTAAATACAATGCAAAGAGAAACTAATGATCTTTTCCGCATTGGGAAGAGAGTGAAGACAAACATCATTGATAACACATTAACGATACCAAAACGGTCTTGATTCCGAGTCCAAAGTAAACAATTAGGTGTTCTCGTATCCACAATAGCAGCCAGATTTCTAATATCTTTTACGATAACACGACAACAATTCTCTTAAATTAGATTATCTTCTTCCATGATTGTCTTTACCAATTTTGTCTCGAGGACCCCGTTAAACAAATTTGATATGAAAATTTTAAATCAGATCTAGACCGGATGAAAGCAAGCTCAAGAGATCAAACCCAACAATATAACGAAATTGACCAAAAACAAAAACAAACTCCAAGCGAAAATGATAAGACACCAATTGCGCAAGAGCTTTAGAGGTTTACAAATTTGCCTCAAGTAGATATTGGACATAAAAAGGAAAGACAAAGGCTTTAGTGAATTATGTATAGGTTTTTTGCAAAATATCTCTCCACAATATTTTTTTTTGTAATATTACCTTTCAACTTAGAAAATTGCAAATCAATGCACTCAACTTTATGAAAACTTGCAAAATAACCCTCCAAAAACTTTTTTTTTTGCAAAATTACCCTTAAACTTAGAAAAATGCAAATCTGTGTATTTACCATCAAAATTACTCATGGAGGGGATTCGAACCCATGATTTCTACTAAAAATTTGGAAGACACAACTACTTTAACATGATAAGATTCATTAAATTCACAAACATAAGTAAATATAATAATATTTTCATTTTTCACCAACTCTAACCTAGAAATTCAAAACCCATAAAGAAAAACTCGAGCTTTGTACCAAAAATTAGCCAGATGAAGCTAAAAACGAAATTCAATTCAATAGAACCCTAATTTTCCCTAGAAATTCGACGATCCATAAGGGAAAGACTCAAGCTTCAAACAAAAAATGAGCCCAAAAGCATTGAAATGAAGCTATAAACAAAATTCAGATGAAAAAAACTGAAGATAATGTTTCACGGGAAATATTCAGAAATTTTGAGAAGAGAAGGAAAATGGTGAATTTTGATTTAGAGTCGGTGAACATCGTATTATATTTGTATATGTTTGTGAATTTAACAAAACTTATCATGGCAAAGTGGATGTGTCTTCTGGATTTTTAGTTAAGAACATGGGTTCGAATCTTCTTTATGTAATTTTGTTCTATTTAAAATTAGCAAAACGACATAGTTTTGATGGTAAATACACATTTATATACAAACTAAAAAACATATAGACAGTTAAGAGTTATATTGCAGGTTTC